GGGGGGACCGGGATGGGGAATACATGTAAATCCATGGCTAATTCATTTCAATGTATGACAAAAACCACTGCAATGATGTAAAGTAATTCGCCTCAAACTAATAAAAATAAACGGAAAAAAATAAATAAATAAAACTCGTAAATGGAAGAAAAAAAAAAAGAATTAGAAAAAAAGATTTTAAACCTCATGTCCAATAATGGATTAGCATCTAGAATACATTAAGAACTTTTAAAAACTCAGCAGTAAAACTCAGAAATCTAGTTAAAAAATAGGCAAAAGATATTTGATGACGAAGATATATTTAACAAAAGAAGATACTCAGATGACAAAGTACATGAAAGGACATTTGACATGATTAGTTATCAGCAAAATGAAAATTAAAACCACAGTGAGAGATCATTACACACCAATAGGATGGCTAAAATAAAAGCCAGTAAACCACCAGATGCTGGTGAAGATGCAGAGAAAACAGGTAACTCACACTACAGCACTGAAGAGAATATATAAAGAGAAACAGTGAGAGACAGCTCTGGCAGCCTCTGAAAAATTAAACATACTCTTCAAAAACTGCATTTCTTAGCATTTATCCTACAGAAAACTGATGTCTACACACCAAACATACACAGAAGGTATGTGAACAAATGTTCACAGCAGTTCTGTCTGTATTAGAAAAAAACCTGGGAGCAGCACAGACATCCCTCAATAGGAAAAGGATTAAATGAGCTGCGGTGTGTCCATCCCTTGGAGTGCTACTGCTCAGAAGGAACAACACAGAACAACTTGAAGGAATATCCAGAGAATCACATGGAGTGAAAAAAGATAATCACCCAACCATTACACAGTATATGATTCTATTTATATAATATTCATGAAATATCAAAACTTAAAAATTGGAGAAAAAATTATTGGTTGCCAGGAGTTAATGACTGGGGGTATGGGGGCAGGGCAAGTGCTGTGCCTATGAAAGACCAAGAGGAACAATCCTCTTGGTGATAGAATTGTTCAATACCTTGACTATATTAACATCAATATCTGGTTGTGACATTGTACAACAGTTTCATAAATTGTTACCGTTGGGGAAACTAGGCAAAAGGCACATGGTATCACTCTGTATTAGTTTTTACAACTGCATATGAATCTACTATTATCTCAAAAAGCTTACTTTTTAAAACCTGTATCAGGTGATACTTCTCCCAATTGAATAGATTAAAAAATACTTTTATCAAGTTTCTATATGTTGCCCAAGATCACACACTACTACTAAATGGTAGATGCAAAAATCAAACTCATGTTTCCTAGACTCCACAGAAAAGTCACAGCTTTACTTCATACATTTAGGGAAAAAATGGGCACCTATATGTGTCGGAATTAACAGATACCAAAAGAAAAATGACAACATAGTTCAGTACTCTAGGGTCTTATGGTATAGAGGGCATAGACTCTGGAGTAAATAATTACAATAAAATATATTATGTATATACAGGCCAACGCCAGCATTGCTGAGGGACATCAAGTGAGGATTCTTCAACAGGAGAGGACAGTCATTAACAAGAAGGGGGTTAAGGGACACAGACTGACCTTTTAACAAGGTCACTCTAGATATGTCTTAGAGCACTAGGAGGCATCATGAACATCTTGGAAATAAACTAGGAGGTTCCTCTAGTAAGCCAGCTGGGAGATGGTAAAAACAGATCAAAGATGGGCCCTTGAACATAGATGACCAGCAAGATATGGTAGTAAACAGAAGAAGATAATGTTTGGTTGTGGAAGAGGAAATTAACTGCATTTTACCATTTTAGAGATGCTTCATCTGAGGTTTCTGCTGAACTTCAAGGCAGATGTCTAACTGGTCAATAAAATATATGCCTCTGAAGAAAGAGATTAGACTAGTAAAATAGACTTCGGAATAATCAGTTATTAAAACATAGCAAAATACATGAAAATAGGAAATATACTAAGAGACTGTATAGAAGGAGAAGGAGGCAAGGAGTAGGATGGACTTAATTCAAGTAAGCAATATTTTAGAAGGAATGATACCTCAGTATTGACAAATTTAAGAAAGAGATTACTCAAAAATAATTTAGACAAACAGAGTTAATAGCATCGATGTATATATACCTCCATATGAATAACAGATAGCTGGTGAGAAGCTGCTATATAACACAGAGAACCAAGCCTGGTGCTCTGTGATGACCTAGAAGGGTAGGATAGGAGAAGGGACGGACATCGTGATGTATGTATAATTATGACTGATTTTCACTGTTGTACAGAAGAAACCAACACAACTCTGAAAAGCAATGTTTTTCCAATTAAAAAAATAATAATTTAAATGGAAAAACAGAAGTGGGCATGTGCATGCAGTGATAGCTAAAAAGATATTTGTGTTACTATACACGTATTTTTAATTTTGGAAAGTGGTCAGAATCTTGATTATCATAAAGAAATGTTTTTCTGTGCCAGTGTTTTCGGTCATGTATACTTGACTTTCTTAATTTTTCTTGCTCACTACTTAAGACTGATTCAATTATTTTCCTAAACATAAAACAAGGAAATGGCTGGCCATCAAAAATATTCTATAATGTATTTTTATCTATCCAACAATTAAAAATTTACATCAATTCATTTCTCCAGTATTTGAAAATGAACTTTTTCTTTTTTGCCTTTTTAAAATACTGGAGGATATTCAAAATTAATAACCCTTTAAAAGAATGGCTTTCAGGAAGAATACAAAAAAGAATAGTTTTAATTTGGTTTTAAGCATCTCTGTCCCTGGGTTTACACTGAAGTCTTCCATCTCTCCAAATGAAATTAAACTCATTTTGAATTCTGGAAGAAAAAAAAAAGTGAGTCTAAAAAACAAATCATTGTGAAGGAACAAAAGAACAGAAGTTCTGTTGAGAATCACTGAAATCTAGAGCATCAATAAGCAGGCTGAAAACAAGACTGAGATTTTTCTGTTTCTCTTATTCCCCCTATTCTAATATAAACAGGATATCCTCCAATTAGCTATGGAGTCTTAGATTATTTAGTTTTACATTACACGCATGCCTTGGTATATGAATACACTCCCTCCTTGTTTTGTTGCTATAGGAATAGTAAGGTAGTTATTCAAATAAAGCAATTAATTTAATGTCCTTTCTTTTTACGAAGATCATTTCTTGAAATATCTTCCAGCTTTTAACATTAGTTTACTTTCATTCCTTACCTCTGAGCTTCAGGTTTCTATGGCAGGACATTTAAGGTCAAAGGAAAAGGTTATGGAGGTATAGTACACTTTTAATTAATCAAAATTCGTAACAACAAATAATAGGTAATGGGCTGCTCAAACCAAAGTAATCTAGTGAGGAAAAAACTAACCCCCAAACCACAATGACAACCTGTCCTGATCCTATCCAAAAAGATAATGTTTCAGTCATAACAGCTTTAATAGTTAACAATGCAAATATGTCTAAAATGAGGAATGAATTTCTTAAATAAAAATCCTATATTTTGACTATGGGTAAAGAACAAGTAATTTCATTGTCACAAAAACACAGCAGAAACAAACCTACGACAGAAAATAACAATGTGGAGAAACGTAGCCTAAAGTGTACTAATGTCAATTAAACTAGAAAAATGGAAGAATTTTTCAATATGCTTATAAATATGCAATCATAAAGATCATGACAAAAACCATCATAATTTTCCATCTTGCCATATCATGATTCCATTCTCTAGGATCTCAGCTTAATTCTACAGTCAGTGTTTTCAACAAACAAAGCAAAGAAAGAAGGACCACAAAAGGCAGGCATTTTAGGATGCCCCTGGAAACCTCATTACTAACCCAATAAATTCCCAACAGAAGTGATATATACAGATGCAGAACCAAAACGATGGCCAACAGCTTCAGGTAAGTTTAGATGTGCAAAGCCTAGTCATGATGTATTAAAACACTGTACTGTAACAGTGAAATTTCAGATGCAGCCAAAGTTCACTGCCTCCCTAAAATATAACTCCCAAAAATACAGTAAAAAGATAATCTCATCAACTGGCAAAATGATGGGGATGCTTTCTGTACCCAAATAGCATTTGAACATGTGAACATTCTACATGTGAATGAGCCAAGTCAGTTAACTGAAAGAAAAAATACAAATAAAAACTTCTGACTAAGCAAACTACAGGTAACAGGAAGGGACTGTCAATTTCTTTCAGAAGCAAAAATTCATCAAGTTTCATAGCAAATATTCCTCTTGAAAACTCTGTATTCAATCTAAAGAAGTATAGCCTGTCTTTCCTGTTCCTACAGGTTCACCATTTCTTCTTTAAACACTAAATAATGCCTCTGGAAAGCAATGTGAAGACTCCCTCTTGGTCAGTGGCAATGTCAGACAGCAAGCAGAGAGGCTGCATTTCATCCCGGCATCATTAAAGCAGAGGACACACGTTCACAAACAGAGCTTCTGGGTTCACCTGCTTCCCTGAATAGCCGGAGGAGCTCAGCAACAGGAGAAGCCTGGAGGAGGTGGCAGGTTTCCCTTGGGAAGAGAACACATATTGACTTACCTTCTCTGCATACTTGAACTTAACATAGAACCAGCTTGACTTGATCATTGTCTCACCTCCTGCTCTCAGAGCAAAAGGAGATGGGAAAAAAATAAAAAGAAAAGAGGAAAAGAAAAAACAAAAACAGTAGAGTGCTGAAGAAAAAGCCGCTTTTCAGCAAAGGCTTCTTCCAGATGCTGAGTTTTCCAAAGGTTGACATGTACTCAAAGGGGGGGCCAAAAGGAAAGACACAGGAAAATGCACTATTAACCTGGCCTCCGTCCCCCTAATGTTCCTACACCTTCCCTTGGTGCCGACAGCGCTGCGAGACCTCGCTCCAGACTGCACTCCAGGACTGCCTTGCTGAGCTGTCTGCCTCTCCCTCCTCTCTCTCTCCCTCTGGGTTGCTCCCTTGGCTGGCTGACAGGAGAACTCCTCAAATGGGCTTCAGCCGCCTTCATCACAAATGGCACGTGTCAGTAAAGGCAGGAGGCAGGTCCTGGCCCCAGTCTCCTCCCAGAAGAGCAACTCCTCCTCCTACCCCTACCCCCAGGGATGAAAAAACGAATTCCAGAACTTCCCCTCAGGACACAGATTAACACCTGGCCAAACATTATTCTGACAAGAGCCACAGTTTAGAGAAAGGACCCTGCCACAGCTTTAACCTCAAGATCTCCTTAACAAGATCAAGTGGTGACCCTTCTCCATGCCTACAGAAGATTACAACACTAAAAACAGCCCAGTCTCTTTTAGCAAAAAGTGAGTTAAGAATCCGTTTTAAATTTTCCAGCTGAAACAACATCTTTCAATCCTGTGTAGTCAGAGAAAGAGAAACTGGAACAGCCTTCTCTTGCCATTCCCTCTTACTTCTATTATACTAGCTGCCAAAACAGCTCCTGGTATTCAGCCTTAAGAACTAACAGCTTGGTAAAATGATTGGCACTTATACATACATTCCTTTCCCCCACAGAAATAAATGTAAAGACAGTGTTTTTTATTTTTGTTTCACTACTATTAACTAGTTAAACTTTTCAAGATTTCAAGAAAAGCGGTGAAACAGAATGATGGCGCTCACTTTACAAGATGCCAGAGATGGAATGGAGAAAGAGAAGTGAAACGCAGGCACACGGCTTTAGCATATGTGAAGGGGAGACACCTGTGCATGGTCAAGTGAGGCAATCAGGCACGTGGAAAACAGTGATTCTCAAAAAATTCAATAATATGGTGTGGCTCTCATCCCTATGCTCCATACCCCTACTGGGATCTCTACCCCAAGTGATAACAACTGGTAATATTTATTAAATACAAAATAATTAAGATTGACCTGGATGTTAAACGCGACAGGATTCTCTAAACTACAAAAGGCCACCTGCACTTCATCCCCACAGACCCTTCTTTTGAGAAACGCCTAGATTTTCCACAGTCAAAGTTTTTGAGGGCATAATGTTGGCTGAGACCTAAATATCATATACTACATATCTTCTGAGCACCAAAGAAATGATGCTTTCAAACTGTGGTGCTAGAGAAGACTCCTGAGAGTTCCTTGGACTGCAAGATGATGAAGGCAGTCAATCCTAAAGGAGATCAACCCTGAATATTCATTGAAAGGACTGATCCTGAAGCTCCAGTACTTTGGCTGCCTGATGCGAAGAGCCACCTCACTAGAGAAGACCCTGATGCTGGGAAAGACTGAGGACAGGAGGAGAAGGGGGCAACAGAGGATGAGATGGTTGGATGGCATCACCAACTCAATGGGCGTGAGTCTGAGCAAACTCTGGGAGATAGTGAAGCACAGGGAGGCCTGATGGGGTCATGGAGTCAGACGCAACTTAGCGACTGAACAACAACGTATCTTTATGGAAAGGGGATATGCTTCCATTTTTTAACCTGCTACTACACACCACTGGGCTAAGCAGTAGCTTCATTTTAGCTTTCAAAGTAACAGGAGTGATTACCACTGGAGGAGGGAATGACTACCTACTCCACTAATTCCTGCTTGGAAAATTCTATGGGCAGAGGAGCCTGGCGGCATATAGTCCATGGGGTCACAAAGAGTCAGACAAAATGTGCGATTAACACTTTCACACCACTGAAAAGCCCTCCCGAAACACTCTATACCTACATCACAATAATTATAAATCTTCCCATATTTTTGAAGAAGGTTTTTCTACTATACACACTCTAACATTCTAATACTATTCCAGCTGAGAAGCTGCATAAGTCCAGAATAAAACTTGATGTCAAAACTGACAATGAGTGTGTCAAAACTCATCCTCTAAGATTCATGTACAATAAAGGATCTCTGTGGATTCTAATTTGAATTATTAAGTAAGGGTATAAACCACTTAGGAGGTGGGAGATGACGTAAATGAAGTTCATACCTGAAGCCTTCTATTTCCTCTGAAGAAAAAAGGACTCAATTCTTACTGGCCTCTCTCAAATCCCTGGATCTTTCTAGTATCCAGAAGCTCTTCTTTCTGGAACACTCCTTATGTCTTTGGTGGCTCAGAGGGTAAAGAATCAGCCTGCAGTGTGGGAGACCTGGGTTTGATCCCTGGGTTGGAAAGATCCCGTGGACGAGGGCATGGCAACCCACTCCAGTATTCCTGCGTGGAGAATCCCCATGGACAGAGGAGCCTGGTGGACAGTCAATGGTGGTGCAAAAAAGTTGGACACGACTGAGCAACTAAGCACATACAGTCACATCTCCTAAATCAAATTCTCTCAGCCTTCAGACTGGTACTTAAGCTGTCACTTCCTCCAACAAGCTTTCCTTATCCTCAGCCTGAGTTTGGCTTGGGCACATCTATAATATACTGAACTTACCTCCTCTTGGCATTTATCATACAATATTCTCCTTGCCTACTTACTCTTCTGCATCTCCTTCTAAACTGCAGGTCTCCTGAGAGCAAGTGACAGCCTGTGGCTTGGCATAGAGACTCAGCAGAGCTGATGCTAAGTTAGTATTGTCAGATAGGATGGAGGAAAGAGAACTTAGAACTTGGGTCACATGGCAAGAGTGAAGACGAAACAACGCATGCAAAGTCCTTAGTACATTCTCTCTAAAATAGTAAGCTCTTGCTAAATGTTTGATATCCTTCAGCTTTGAGCGGGGAGAGTTTGAAACTTCCACCAAGGGGAGAAAGAAAGTGAACTCAGTAAATGCACTTATGGGCAATACTGAAGAAGCCAGCAGCTGCCGAGGCGCATGGATCTATATAACAACACTCAAACATAGTTTCAATTCTTTCAAGTGGAACACAGACTCTCAAGAGGGCAGACAGCTGACATGCTCCTGAGAGGAAATGGGCAGAAGAACAAGACCATCAAGGAACAGAGGGTGCTGGTGAGAGGGGTGGTGAGGGGATTACATACGTAATGCAGGCTGAGAAAAGAAAGAAGGAACCCCAGGGGGCCTTGGAGACTGACAGAAGAGTGAGCAGCATCACAGAAAGATGGAATGGAGAGGGGAAAGATGGCAGGGTGGCCAATGACCAACTTTACTTACAGACATGCTGACAAAATTTTCTGTTTTGGGGACAGACGGTGGAAGACTGGGAATTTTGTTGAACGTTAATTTGTTTCCTTGTGATTTTTTTTCCCCCTTTACTGTAAGTCCAAGCGCTCAAGGAAAGGGGGGGGAAAGTAACATAATGAAGGATTCCAAAAAGTTATTTGCATAATCAAGTCATAAGACCCCTGGCCTTAGTGAATATTCATTCTATTTGGCAAAGGACTTTAAAAGTTCATAAAAACAAATACTGTCTAACTTTGAGCATAAGGGCCTCTTTTTATGTAAAAAGGAATAATAAACTCCCCATTTGATCATGTTTTAATTGTTAGCAGGCATTCACTGGTTGAAGAAAAACAAAATCTAAGAATTTAATAATACCGAGATTCCCTAGTGGTCCAATGGTTAACAATTTACCTGCCAATGCAGGGAACACAGGTTCCATCCCTGGTCCGGGAAGACTCCACATGTCGAGGGGCAACTGAGCCCGTGTGCCACCAACTACTGAAGCGCATGCCCCCTAGAGCCGATGCTCCACCACAGGAGGAGCCACTGCATGGTACAGCAAGGAGGAGCAGCCTCTGCTTGCCACAACCAGAGAAAGCCCTGTTCACAGCAATGAAGACCCAGCAGAGCCAAAAACTGATTCATTTTTTTTTTTAAAGAAAGAATTACCAATTGAACAATGCATAGGGCTTCCCAGGTGACACTAAAAGAACCCACCTGCCAATGCAGGAGACATAAAGAGACGTGGGTTCAATACCCGGATCGTGAAGATCCAGGAGGGCACAGCAACACACTCCAGCATTCCTGCCTGGAGAATTCCCTGGAGAGAGGAGCCATAGCCTGGTGGGCTACAGTCCACAGAGCCACAAAGAGTCGAACACAGCTGAAGTGATTTAGCACAATGAGCACATACACACACTATGTTTTTTTAACGAATTTCTATTAACTATCCCTTTCAGAAACACCAAAAAATCATGTGCACGCAGGAGTACGGCGCCTGTATCCTGATAGACACTGCGTCTCCCAAGCTGAGAAACTACCTGAAGTAAACAGTGCAAGGATGAAATAAACGAAACTGAGAAAGGTAAAGTGACGTCACCAGGGTCTCACACCAGGGCTGTGGCCGAGCTATGAGATGCCCTGGCTCCTCTGTCCAGCACCATCCTACTGCGTGCAGGGCCACCCCTGAGAAAACTGGCAAGGCTGTTACATAGCTCAGATAACACAACCATGCGACAGAATTAATGACTATAAATTCTCTAAGAATCAAGGGATGATAAAATAAAACTATTTAATTTATCCACCAAATACCTAACATTCGCAACAATACAGGTTACTGCTTAATGGAAAGTGAGGTGGTGGTGGTTTAGTTGCTAAGTCGTGCCCAACTGTTGCAATCTCATGAACTGTAGCCGGCCAGGCTCCTCTCTCCATGGGATTTCCCAGGCAAGAACATTGGAGTGGGTAGCGATTTCTTTCTCGAAGGGATCTTTCCAACCCAAGGATCAAATCCGCATCTTCTGCATCTTCTGCCCGGCAGGTAGATTCTTACCGCGGGGCCACCAGGGAAGCCCGAGGAAGGAGCTGATGCTCACTTCAAGCGGCAGACTTCTGACTGGTGTTTTAAGTCTCCTGAAAGAGCAGAAGACCTAAGGCCGATGGAGGGAGGGAGCAAAACCTACTTTACGGCAGAAAGTACAATGTGGAAGGCAGCGGATACAGGCAAGAGCTTTGGAGACAACAGGATTTCAGTTCCAGCCCGGGTCATGCTAAGTGCTGGGTATAACTGCGAACTAGTCACTTATCTCTCTCAACCTCAAGTGCTTCATCTGTTAACTGAAGGTAACCAAACCTAACTTCAAATGATGATTCTTGTGAAAATTAAAATAGCCTCATAGTTTTGCGAAGCAGTTAACACAGCTCCAGATTCACCACTAAGCTTGATAAAAGTTAGTGTCACCTTCAATTACATCACAACCTCCTAACCTTTGTTTAGTAGCTAGCTATAGTCAGCTGGAAACATCACTTCTTAGCCTTCAATTCAGAAACTCAACCTGCTGTGACAGAGACTCAATCATCCTCTGCTTACATTCTAAACCTGATGTTCCATCAGGAAGGGAGGAAGCAGACAAGAGAAGGCACCACGTCCGCCCAGCTCCACAGTGAACATAAGCAGGGAAAGACACCTCAGTTTGTGAGCTTCCAGGTAGTCATCACTGACAAAGAGTGCATTCTCTAGTAAAATATGACTGCTATTTTATTCTCAGTGTTTTCTGGAGAACTGAAAGTCCACAAACACACACAGAGAGATATAAAAAACCAGCAATTGAGCCCTTTTAACTCTGAAACCACAACTAAGATAGGCTTCTGCAGAAACTCATTTTCATTTCCTGGCATAAACTCCTTCTTCCAACTCCCACTCGCCTTTTTTGTTTTGTTTTAAACAGACAGTGTACTGTTAAAATCGGACGATCTTTGTGGAGGAACTGCTTCAGCTGCACTGAAAGAACCCTTTTCCACCGCAGCTGCACTTGGAACACACCATTTCCTCTGGCAGAGCATCTGAATGCTTGTTCAGAGAGGCTGAAGAGGTTCGATGGGCGCTCAAGGACTTTCTCTTTTCTCAGTGAACAGGGCTGGTCACAGCTCTTATAAAGCCTTCAGAACGATTCATTTATCTGTCAAAAATGGCAAGACTCTTCCAGCTTTTGTACATGGTGCTTCCTCTGCTGGGAATGAAATTTACCCTCTTCTTCAACCCTACTAGTCCCTGCCTAACCCAGAAAATGCATTCATATACATGCTTTGCATACACACACACACACACACACACACACACACACACACACACACACACCCTACTTCTGGTTAGCTTACAATTCTCATCCCAGACTTCGACTCTTTACAAAAGCTTCCCTTGATCCTTCAAAGGAAGAGTTTGCAAATGAAACTGTTCAGAAGTTCAGCTTAACAATAAAGCTTAAAATGACTTGAACACCAATGACAAAGAGATACAGCTGAACTACAACAGAAAGATTTTTATCCTATAATACGTTCTGCTCTTCAGCAGAAAAGAAGGCTGCGTGTTCTTTCCTACTAACAACCCTCCATGATAAATGTGTTCTTCTTAAGCCCTCAGGGGAGGGAGAAGTGCACCTCAGCTGAACATTTCAGGAGACAGAAATCATGCCTGTGTTATCTGCATCTGACCTCCTCTCCGCTCCTAAGAGGCACCGAGACCAGCCGGAAAAAGAGCCAAGGCCCACTGCCAAGAATAGACTCGGTCCAACAGCACCACTCCAAGCTGAGTAGTTTCTAGAGTCCTCGAGGGCATCAGGCCAAAGGCCCATCCAGGATTCTCAAGGCAGGAGAGAGGTCTGGAAGGACACCAAGCCGTCCTGCAGGGAGGCTGGAGGGCGAGACTAGCCTCCAGCAGGGTCAGGCTCGGGGCTCCCCGTTCCTCTGAAGAGTCTCCTTCGGGGTGATGTTCCTCCCTTGACATAACCCTCATCTGGGCAAGCAAACCCAAGCTATCACAGAGTGAGCTATATGAACACTGTCCTACCCCCTGAAGTATAGCAAAGTATGCTTAATTCCTGAACTAATTACCTTCATAGAGCTGATCTTTGATACCTAGTATTCCTTGAGGTTCTATGAGGCTTTTTTTATTTCTTCAGAATTTTTCAAAAAGCCCTCACAAAGGTCAAACTGTTTAAGATTACCTTAAAGGCAGGGAACCAATAACCCTCTTTTGGGAAGAAGAGCTACACAGCTTTATACTATGGATTCTGTATTCTTGGGCTTCCCTTGTGGCTCAGATGGTAAAGAATCCGCCTGCAATGTGGGAGACCTGGGTTTGATCCCTGGGTTGGGAAGATCCCCTGGAGAAGGGAACGGCTACCAACTCCAATATTCTGGCCTGCAGAATTCCATGGACTGTATAGTCCATGGGGTCACAAAGAGTCAGTCACGATTGAGTGACTTTCACTCACTCATTCACTCACTCAATCTACAGAAGCAGTGTGTGAAGGGACATTCTAGTTACTCACTTTTCTTGTATGAAAATGTGTCCAATTTTATAAAGTAGATAATAAATTAACTCTGTTTGATATTAAGGGCCATAGGAATGTGAGCTAAGAAAGTATATCCGAAACTGCACATGTTTCCATCACTATAAAAGGAAAAAGTGACAGGTGCCCAGACACTAACTAAAAGGAACAGGTATATATTTGAAGAAAATTACCAAAACATACTGAGTACAATTAAAAAGAGGATCAACATTGGGCCGGGGCGGGGGGAGTGTTCTAAAAGGTTGATAAGAAGAGACACATAATGATCTTTTTACAAATATAAAAATATCTAAACTCTGACCCCATCACCTTGTCTGTGTCCAAACAAACACATCAAAAACATCCAATACCAAGAGATGAAAGGAGCATCTTTCCCTTTGACTTCAGAACTGACAGAGATGGAGGGGTTATATACTTCACATAAGCCATACTCCACATTCCTGAGTAAGTGTGCCATCAAAACCGCACACCAACAATATCTAATTCTTTCCGCTTAGAGTACCTTCTAGAGATACTGGGAAATAAGCACAAAACTTAAAGATTAAAAAAAAATCATGTAGCATTTGATGTACAAAAAGATAACCAACAGTACCTACTGAGGAGTCAGCACCTGCATGGGAAACATTACCCATGCTACATGAGGAAGACAAGAAGGAACCACACACAGACACACACACACACATACACACACACACATCAGAGAATTAACCATGCTCTATGAGGGAGACAAGAAGGAACCCCCCCACACACACACACATCAGAGCATTAACCATGCTCCATGAGGGAGACAAGAAGGAACCACACACACACACACAGAGACACACACACATCAGAGCATTACCCATGCTCCATGAGGGAGACAAGAAGGAACCACACACACACACACACACACACACACACACACACACACACACCCCACAGCATTAACCATGCTCCATGAGGGAGACAAGAAGGAACCACACACACACACACACACACACACACACACACACACACCCCACAGCATTAACCATGCTCCATGAGGGAGACAAGGAACCACACACACACACACATACACACACACACACACACACACCCCACAGCATTAACCATGCTCCATGAGGGAGACAAGAAGGAACTACACACACCCACAAAACCAACAGAAATAGTCCTTCCTGAAATGACATGGCAGTCTGGTTGAGACTAGTGATGCACAGAAGACATTACTTAAAACAACAAACCCCCAAACTGCAGAGCAATACACCACACACAGAAGTTGGTGAGTATGTAGAAGGCAGTGAGAGAGGGATGAGAGGTAGATGAGGAAGGCTTGCCATGGAAAAAGGAGGTTTGAAGAAAATACAGAATCTGATTTGGTCAATGATTAAAAAAAAAAAGACATTCCAGATAAATATGAAAACACATATCAATACAAAAACAAAAGTAAGAAAACTAAAATTATGAAAAGTAGAATTATTAACTCTTTTCCATAAATACAAACATGACTGATTAACTTTGCTCATGTTCCCCTTATTTCTGCATCTAATCTCTTTGAAAAATGACTTACTCTGAAGTTTGGCCCTGTGTCTTTATATAAAAATATGTTTGTTCACAGACATATTACTATACAACCCTACTTGCATACCTACTTTCTTTACACACAGAATTACATAGATAAATGGCAGCCAAGTTATTTTAACTGGTTTTGCAGTATGAATTCAGAATGATTATAATTACAGTTTCTCTGTTAAAATGAGGTTTTGTTCTTTAATATTCATTGACTACTAGCTTGCTTCCCACACACAACACATTATTTACCCTACATTGGCTTGGTGCATCAATTATGGTAATAGTTTGTGAATAACATTCACATTATGGAAAAATGAGCCTGGTTACTTAGCTCTCCCTCTGGAAAATTGTCACAAACATATGTATCATCTGTCTCTACTTAGAGTGCAGCAATTAGTAATTATAGCTGTATATACTTTTTTAAAGCAAAGGGGGAAAACAGACCTGAAATGTCATCTTCAGAAATGTTCTTAGGATGTTGTCTAAAATTAATTTTGTTGAAATTCTAGTTGTAAAAGAGAAAATTCATTTTGACAAAATATAAAGTCATTGTTAATAGCATATTGAATATGGAAAAATAGACAAAGTACCTTTCAAATGATATCACTTACTGAATAATCCCTTCTTCACCCAGATAAATAGACCACAGGCTGAGGGAGGGCAGAATACAGTACTGAGAGGCAGGAGAGACCTGGATTCAAATGCTTGTCTTCTTACCATCCTCTGGCTCAATTAAACAGCTATTTATAGAGTGCCTACTATATATCAGACACAGTACTTAGTTTTATAGAAACTTAAATGAATAAAACAAAATAATCTGTCTTTAGGTTCCCTTGTAAGGGAACAAGAAACATAAATCAGTACAGTGTAATAAAAAGTCTTCAGATTTTAAAAAAAGAAAAGGTTTTACAGATATGTAAACAGTTCAGAGAATTATTTATTATAGCAGAGAAAGGAAGTAAGAGATAGCTTTACCAAGCAAGGCACAAACTGTGGAGCTGTGGTGGGAGCTAAGGATTTCCAAGGAAGAGTAATCCCCATGTGACAAGGTTCAAGGTCCGAACATGAGAATGGAGAATTAGGAGGAGTGTGGAGGTGGGGTCAGAAGGGCCTGGGAAGCTTGGCTTTTCATAGTCTACAGGTTCCTACCGTTTGTTCTCCTCTCTGCACTGCACGGCGATGCAGACACCCCAACAGTGGATGTGCTGTGGCCCCATGCTTCAGCGCTGTCCCTCTGCCCTAACGCACCCTAACACGGCTCTGATGGAGGTGTTTTCTGCCAAGCAGGGCGTCTAAGAGAGAAAGCCAACAGCCCCCGGCTCAGTTGCCATGTGGCCCAGAAGCAAGCACTGATTCACGTTCTAGAACAGAGGCCACCGCCTTTTGCAGCAAAAAGCCAGACAGTAAGCGCTCAGACTTCCCATGTCAGGCTACCTCTGTTGCAACTTTTCAACTCTGCCATTGTAGCTTAGAAGCTGCCACAGAGATTACATAAACATGTTAACAAAAACAGACCCCAGGTAAAGTCTGGCTGCCAGGCCTACTTGCCAACTCCTGCTGGAGAAGATGGCAGGCACAGAATGGGTGTTCCATGAATGCGAGCTGGATGAGTCACTAGTGGGGACTATCCCTGCTGCTCACTACATTCATCAATGTCTCCTGTCCATCACTGTTCTTTTCCTCTTTAGTACCTCATCCTAAGGACTGCTATACACACTTACTTGTGCAGGCTACACGTCCAGGATGAACTACTGAGCTGTTGTTCAGTCACTAAGTCATGTCCGACTCTTTGCTACCCCATGGACTACAGTGCATCAGGCTTAACGCTCCCTTCAGGACAGCAGCTAACAGTCCCACAGACTGACACTGTCGACTCACATACTAAACATCCACAGTGTTCAATCTGTCTTGCTTAAAGACAACAATAAACTTAAACATAACTCCCAACAACCTAGAGGGGTGCGATGGAGTTGGGAGGTAGGAGGGAGGTTCAAGAAGGAGGGGACATATGAATACCTATGGCTGATTCATGTTGATAAACGGCAGAACCACCAC